AACATCATACACAGGCAATTTAGACCAGAGCTAGAAGTAGCTGTAACATGATGTAATGCTTTTACTGAAAATTTTAGTAATATTAAATATATGTACCAAATGCAAAGGAACATTTGCTTGGTATTTTTAAAAAGTTTTACCACATATACCTGTGTCTCTAAGTAATGTATTGTTTGGAGCATTTTTGAACATTACTGAAATGACACAAAACTGTATACATCTCATATAAATGAAAATAGTATGCAACCATTAAAATGCAAAAAAAGAATTTTTAATGATGTGGGGAAAAAAACTTGTTTCTGAGTGGACCTTGCAAAGAGGACTAACTTGAGACAAGCAATCCTGAATTCAAGGAGACACAAGTCATTTTCATTGTTTTTCACTAGCCATATTTAGCCTCAAAATAGGGGTGGAGTAGCTGGAGAATTAAGTTTAATCAGGATGAGCCTTTGCCAGCAGAGGGAAATGGAGTAAGAGAGAGTGAAGGGAGTTACGAGGATAATCAAGGAAGCGAATGATGTTAGACCAGGGGCTCTGAGCTGAACAAAGAGAAACTTTAAAAAGGAGTGCCATGGGGCACAAGAAGAAGACAATAAATGGAAAGGTGGCAGACCAGTATAATTCTCCAAAGAATGGTGGAGACCTTGGAGTTAGGGAGCAAGGGAAGTGAGCTGGAGTGTCAGGTAATAGGAGCCTCTAACTGGTTCAAATGGTTAATGTGCTCAGCTGCTAACTGGAAGGATGGCAGTGCCAGTCAGTCCACTCAGAGGCTACTGGGAAGAAAGGCTTGATAACAGACTTATGAAAACTCAGTCACTGAAAACCTAAGGGGTCAACAGGAGTTGAAACCAACTCAATGGCAGATGGTTTTTTTTGGGCTTTGGTTTTTTTTAAAGTCAGGCAGTGGTGTGCTGACAGTAAGATCAAGAGTCTGATTATGGACGTAGACAGCTAGGGAAGGGGGAAGATAAGCCCCCACAGGGAAAGAGAGACAAAGTCTAAGAGGCTGAACAGGTGAAAGGATCCCTGCAGAGATATCAGATCCTCCAAGCATGATGAGAGGAGCAGTTTGCAGAGACGGACAGGGAGCCCGGTGCTAATTTTGAGTAAGAAAGGGCAGTAACACTGAAGTCTGCAGATGACTACAGCCCAGGGGTAACACAGGACATCCTCTGGTGGCACAAGCTGGGACATTAGAAGAGGAACAAGAGGATGAAGGAAATTAAAACTGCCTCTAAGGAGGAGGGTCAGTGCTCTTCAATATCCTGTAAGATTCCTTCAAATAAACTAAAGATAAGATGCTATAGAAAAACTGAGTATACATACATATGAACATATGGTCTGGTGGGGGAAGGGGAGAAAGAAGGCAGGGTGAGGAAGTAAGAGGGTGGGAGAACAGAGAGAGGGTGGGAGGGAGGGAAGTGGGGGAGAAGGAAAGAGGAAAGAGAGCATTTGTGTGGCCAAAAAAATATAAATCTACAGTTATCATATTCTGACGTAAGTGCCCTCCCTCACACTACTTTCTTCACCTACAACATAAATCAAAATTTATCAGTAAGCTAGTATTCCTATATAATAAAATTTGAAGTGGATAAGAAATATTATTTCAATGCCCAAGATATGTAGCACATATACAATAAAAACTTAAGATTTGCTAATGATTATATTTTATACGAAAACTGATCCGAGGACTTTTATCATGTATCCCATTCACAGTATTGTTTCAAAAGATTGGCAGAGAAAACCTTAAAGTCTAACTATCCCCTGAATTCGACTTTAAACCAAATTGTTGTTTGGCTTAACAAGAAAAGAATGTCTGTCTATAGCATTGCGCTCTTTAAAAGAATTATCAATAGGAGATCAAACTAACAACAGCAAATAAAAAGGTTAGGTGAGAAACTGAGGACACAGTGACATTATGTTAATGATGGTGAAATAATTTGGAAAAGGATACTGGGAACAATATATCCTTGTT